CAATTAAGAAATACAGATAGTTTCTCTCTTTACTCTTAAAGTTAACAAATATGTTTTTTATATTTATCAATCTAAAAAATAAACATTTAGTCTGATTTGATGTTACAATTAAAAAAGGGTTTGTGTTGTGATCTGAAGAGTACATAAATATCTGGCTTCAACTGTATATTTGATGATTGTCAGCACAAAGACGGAGAGAGAGGAACAGAGAGGGAGAGAAAGGTAGAGAAGAAAGGAGTGGGAGATGGAGAATGAGGACAGAACAGAGATGAACAAGAGCAGGTGAGACAGACATGTTAGTCAAATGGTTGTTTACCAAAAGTATCACCGTATCATAGGTCCTCATGTATCTCGTACCTAGTGTTTCTTTTTAGGTTTGTTATTTTTCAAATTCTATATTTACTAAGTTATGCAGGCTTGTTGCACAACAAGGCTAAATAATTATATAAACTTTTCTCAATCTAAATAGTGTTCTTTGGTAGAATTAAAAAATAAGTGTAGTGCAGGTCTATGAAGATTTTTTAGTGCTACTATCATCTAGTTCTGATTCTGGTTCTGTCTTGGTTAAATCCCAAGTACTCCTGATTTTGAACTCTTGTAGTCCTGTTTTAATTCCAGATCAGTTCTGGGTCTGGTTGAATTGGGGTTTAGTCCTCGTGTCTTGATACAGCCCTGACTTTGTTCTGCCTTGCTGCTTAATTAAAAACCTAGTTTAAGGTGTCCTGCATATGTGATATATTTTTTTTTCATATATGAAGTCATTCTTTTTTGAACAAAACTCAAAACAGAGCCAATTAATCTTTCAGTCATTTCTACCCCCCTCCCACAAAAAAAAAATCCCACATGCATACTACCCTTTAGGGTTAAGCCCCGGGTGTTTCAAATGTCTGGCTCCCCCTCTGCTCTGGTGCCTTCTCACATTTGTTTTAGGGTCTGCCAGGCCTGGGAGCTGCCACCAACCACTACCAACCACCTATCGCGGGTTATTTTTAGAACATAACTCCCGCGATAAAGGAGGGACCACTGTACACACAAAAGCGTGGCCAGTGTTTATCTTCTTCTATTTTCTTCCATTATTCTGTCAGCACAGAAGGACACGCTAGAACTTCACTCATTTTCAGAGAGGCCTGTTAATATCTGCACTTCACTATTAATGAATGGTACAATATTCTGGAAGTAAAAGGAACATCTCTTATAAAGTCCAAGATTTAGCATGACCAAAAGTTTTCTTCGTCTTGAATGCATAATTGACCTGTGAAACAAGAGTACTGTATAAGTTTAATGATTACAATATTGCTCTATAAATTGCATCCCTTCTATAGCATCCACAAACATAAAATGTCCCAAACAGGCATTTAAATCAAGTGTCTTTTTGCAGTTCTCACTCCTGGACACTACATTTAGTGAGTGAGCATAGTAAACAATACACCTGCAAACCAAGAGCAAATTTACACCACAGCAGAATTGTTAGTGCTAGCATTAAGGTGAAAGGGCTGCTTGTTCTCACAAAGCTACGGTCTAAAGTCTAAAGATAACTATAGTTTAATGCTATCTTGTCTTGTTGTATATCATAAATGACTCTGTATACAATCACAGTCATATCATACAATAAAGATTAAGCACTTGTCAAATTTCTAATGATGTTACGTGAGTAGTAAATGATCCCCAGGTGCTGCCTGCATGTGTCCTTGTCCCAGTATGCAGTAAAAAGCTTCCAGACCATTGCTGTAAACTGCATGACAAGTTATCTCAAGCTATCTCCTGAGATGTTCTCAAAACTGTTTACAGCCTGTGCTGAAGGAAGCAGAAATGATACTGAAAAAGCTTCTGACAAAAGTAGTTTTGGTTATTGTTTACTTAATAAATACTAAATAAAACATAAGATATTTAAAAGCAATTAATAAGTTATTGTAAAGGGTAAAGGGTAAAATTGCAAAGTTTAGATGAACCAGTTGAAAGAGCTTTGGCTTGTTCACTCTGGCTACAGAGGCTTATTCGTACGTTTTTTTCTCACTTCCAGGGTGAAATAAACGGGGAAATGGTTAAACATCCAAGGACAAGAGCACGTGTCAGATAAAAGTATTTCTATGTAACTGTAATGCTACCGAACTCGTGATTTACTATTCTCTATGAAGGAGTCAAATGCTTGAGGTGTCAGCTTTGCGTGGATAATCAAAAACGGTCTAAAATCAATCATGACAGAAAAGAACATTATTTATTAAAGTTGAGTTAAAATCTGTTGCGGAGATTTGTATAATAGTTTTAAAATATAATTTAAAATGAAGTGAAATGAAAAAAAAGTTTAAAAATTGTCATTAAATAGTTTCATGTGATATTATTTACAATATTATTTATATTACAATGTGTACATAATCACTGATACTTCTCACAACATCCATTTAATTTATAGACCACTATGTGAATATAGAGATGTTTACATATTTCTTCTTGCTCTTATACTGGTTATGATTTATATCACAGTGACAATGTGATGCTGATCTTCATCTTTGATTTCATCCTAATTACATGCAGTTTTAGGAAGTACAACCATCTACTAACAACTGTTACAAATCAACCTGTAGCAAATCCCATTTTCATTCATCAAAATCAAATCATTTTTTTAAAAAAATGTCCACAGTTCTAAACAACTGAAAGACAAATATCAAAGGTCAGAACTGTGATCAGGTCATGCTTATTATTGATGATAAATCACGTCAACCTTCATGATGCAGAGACTTAATTCCAGCTTTGCCTGTTATAAGGGTTAACTGCATTTGTATTAACATGAACCCTTGGATAGTCTAAACCATGTTGAAGTGGCCGTGGCTGCTGCTGCCGCCATGGTGGTTGTAGTTCCAGTTGCTGTAGTTCATCTTCTTTTTCTCCATCAGAAAATTTCAGGATTAAGCAACACAGGAGTCCATCGAGAAAGACGTTAAAATTTGTGAAATAATAAACATTTACAAAAATTGTATTATAGTCAGCTCCTGGCTGCCCAGAGGTGGGCCTACTGTAGACTAGGTACCTAAGAACAAAACTGGGGAAGTAGACAGCAAAGAACGTGACCATTGAGATAACTGTGATGCCTATCTTTACTATTTTTCCCCCTGTGGCAGCAAAGCTTAAAATAGCTGTTGAAACAATGGCCACAGCCAAACCACAGATGAGGATTTCTAGTAGGTAATCTGCCTCAATGGTGTAGAGCACAGAACTGTAGTGTAAAACACAAATCAGTAAAGAAACCACAGAGAAAACACAGCGTAGTGTGGCTCCCAGGTGTGGGCGATACAGGTATAGGAGTGATATGAGGGCAGTCAGGAGATGTATCATCACTAAATACCGTCTTGAAAACATCCACAGGTATTCGGTGTACACACATGGGTTTCCAGAACAGGTAGCTGCAGCCAGTTGACTTCCGAAGGTCATTGCTCCGATGACATTTAGAACATCGATGAAAAGCAGAACGAAAAGAGAGATGTGGGTGTTCTGAGCACCTCTGAGGTTCATGTGCTCACATGAAAAGGACATGATGAAGCTATTTTTAAGGAGGCTTAGGGCACCTCGTTGGAACCAGAAGGCACCGATGTAGGTAACCAGGCCCAGCAGAGAGGTGGACAGGAGAATTCCTGCAGCCAAGTTAGTGTTTACCACAACACCCCAATTTTTTGTGCCAATTGCCAATTTTGGGCCATAGGGCGATTTGCTGATCACATCTGTGACGTTCTCCATGACGTGGTGATCTTAACCAGCTTTGTGAACCTGCTGGAAGAGAGAGAAGACCAATATCTGTATTAGTATTTTGCCCTGCAAATTACATTACTATACATTATATATTTTCATGTATAATTGTTGTAAAATTTATAGTGTAATGAGAAACATGTTGCTGCCTGTTCATATAAAGGGCACAGGGGCTTAAAATGTGCTAACTGACTGAAGTCTTTCTTGCTTCTCTTAAGCTGTCACGGTTCTGGGTCAGTTTGACCAAGTATTTTGAGATGTTATGTTTTGATTTATTTTTGAATGATGGATTGTTCTTTATGCTTCTCTGGTGCTTTTTGGGGGTTTTATGATGAATCTGCATTTCAAGTTACTTTGGTGTGTTGGATTGTTTTCTTATTCTCTTAGTGCTTGTGATGATGATGATGATGATGTTCTATGTTCCAGCTTATTCTGGTTTATTTTTAGTTCTGCCCATGTTAAGTCCGTGTTTCTTAGTCTGCGTCTTTGTGTCTTATTTCCTGTTTTATTGTGAAAGTCTATGTCTTATGTTAGTGTGTGCAGCTTTGCTCCCCCTGTCTTGTTAGTCCAGTTTCTCCCAGCTGTGTCTCCCTCCTGTTGCCCATTCCCTGATTACCACCCTGTGTATATTAGCCCTGTGTTTTCCTGTGCTCAGTGTCGTGTCGTACCCTCAGAATTATGCCTGTGTGTTCAGTTCTCAGTGTCATTGTTCAGTTCATGTTTTCATTTATCACCAGCAATAAAGCTAAGGTTCTCAGTTTCAATTCAGTCTCAGAGTCTCGCATTTGGATCCTCCTCTCCATCCGCATGCACACAGAGCCCTGACATAAGCTCTCATTGTGAAGGCAGACATTTGAAAATTAAAGGCTGGAATTTACACTTTTCTACAATAATCAACAGGAAGAAATATATACCCTCTGCTCAACAAACGGGAAAAACAACAACAACAAAAAACATTTAAAACATTTTGTTCTGTCAGAGAATCAGAGAACATGTAAAAATCATGTAAAAATCATTTAGTCTTTTAATTTTTACATATACAACATGAGAATTTGAGAGTAAAAAGACATAATTTAATCTTACTTTATTTACGAAGTGATCTCCTGTTTCTGGGGTAAAATTCACCAACTGACAAACACTGCCACACTGACCTGCATATATATGGATGTAATTATGTCGTAAAAACAATTAGTCAAGCACATGTCTTATCGGGGTGTGTTCTTCTATTGGTTATAAACCATTTACAGCATGTGAAACAGACTGCTGCAAAAGTATTCACAATATGTTTTTGTCAAAACATGCCACGTAATTCAAAATAAAAAGGATTTTTGCTGTTAAGAAAAAAGTCGTGAAAAAGATTATAGGACATCTTTAGTGCATAGACTGAGGTGTTTTCATAGATATAATTCCATGTGAAGCAACCCCCCTCCAGTAAAAGAAAATATAATGATGTTTATAATTTATACTAAACATTTTATAAAACATTAAAAGCTTTATTAGAATGTTTTAGTAACATCAAAACCTGGATAGTAATTTTTTAGAACTTTTGTTTTTATTAAGAACAAAACTGAAGATATTCCTTGGCTTCCTATGTGTTTTAGGATTGATTTCAAGATATTATTGTATGTTTTTAAATCCCTTAATGGGTTGAACACCTGTCCAGATCACAAAGGGCATCAATGCGCTTTATGCAGTATGTTGCTTCAATGACACTGGTCTGCTGACCAGCTCCTCCATATTCTAGAGACCGAACATAATAACAAGGGGTCAACCTTTCTCTGCCATAGGAACTGTGGAATGAGGTAAAAAGTACAACTTAAAACATATTTTGGTCTTTCTTTTTCAACCTGAAAGCTTGGGTATTTGTGTGTGTGTGTGTGTGGTATTAGGATTGGATTGGAAAGGATTCAGAGAAATCTCTGTGCACAATGGACAAGGCTAAAACCCAGTATTGGATGCGTAGGATCTTTAGGCCCTCAGGCTGATTAAAAACAAGAAAAATTCTATCATGGAAATCATTTCATGGATTCAGGAAGACTTTTCAAAAACAGTTAACTGTCATTGTAAACATGGCTTACTGTACCATTCACAACTGAAGCTTATATGTTTTGAAACTGTGTTTGTAACATGTAACTTAAGTGCACAGATTCATAATTTGTATTAGTTTTTACACATTAAAATCTGTTGTGGAGATTTGGATGATGTTTTACAAAAAAGAGAAAATGTGTTTGTAATGTGTCTCCAGGCTGTCTGTTTTCTTCCCTCTCATTTCACTTGCCATTTCCCTGGGTACGAAGACTGCAGCCTGTTGCCCATTTGTGAATCTAAAGCTAACTGGAGGAAGGAGGCTTTGAATGGACCAACCAGGAATAAGGAGAGACTCATAAAAGGAAACTCTCCTGTGGTTAGAGGCGGCTTTCTCGTCCACTCGCTAAGGATCGTTTGGCACATGTGTTGAGCTGCCCTGCAGCATTCAATTTGTTTGTGAGAGGTTTGTGGTGGTAGTAAGAGGGCTGGGTAACTCTTGGGGAACCTGTACATTTTCACACATGTTTTCTGTTAAAAAACACTAGGTAGTAGGTTGGTGCCACCCATGTAATGTTTTGAGCTTATTTTGTGAGATGAGGATTAGGATCGTCTTTCTTTGCTGTTTCCCTCTTAGAGTAAAGCTCAGCTAGGTTCTGGTTTTGTCTCTTTGGCACAACCTAACGCTCCCTTTCTCCCCCACATTGTTGTATAAGCTGTTGTTATGTGTGGTTGGGGTTTACTTTTGTTGTTTGTTTGTTTTTGTTTTTTTGAGAAGTTGATCTGTCAAAACCAGGCATAACAGTGTTAAAAAAAAAGAAACAACTTTAATTAAAAAGGATATTTTTTTTATTACAGTGTAGTTGCTGTAATTTGTCACATAATCACATTTATAGTGCATTCTGTGTGTACTTATTCTTCTGTGTTATACATTGGCTTTAAAATCACATTAGAGGTACAATAATCATCTTAATCTCTGATTTAAAATTCCTTTCATCCAATTTAAATTTAAATTATTGGAACATAAAGTACAGCCATCTGAATAATAGTGCTATCAACCTTTAACTAGGCCCTCACCCATCTAGTCATTTTTTTAAGTGATTTTAGTGTCCACAGTTGCAAATACTTGGGAAACAAATACTACATGTAGCTGATTTCAGAGTTATGATCGAGTCAAACTTCATAGACCAGAGACTTAATTCCAGTTTTGCCTGTTATATGCAGTAATTGCATTTGTATTAACATGAACCCTTGGATAAATTAAGCCCTGTTGCTGCTGCTGCTGCCATTGCTGTGGTGGTGGTTGTTGCTGCCATGGTTGTGGTGGTTGTGGTGATTGTTGCTGCGATTGTTGTAGTGGTGGTTGTTGCTGCCATGGTCGTGGTGGTTGTGGTAATTGTTGCTGTAATTGTTGTGGCAGTTGCTGCAGCCCTTGTTCTTGTAGCTCCCATTGTTGTGGTTGTTGTTGTTCTTCTGCTGCAGACATCTTCAAAATTGAATAGCACAAGAGTCCATCGAGAAAGACTTGAAAGTTTGTGAAATAATACACATTTACATAAATTACAAAATAGTCTTCTATTGGCAGCCCAGAGATGGTCCGACTATAGATCAGGTAATCAAGAACAAAAACCGGAAGGTAGACAACTAAGAAGGTGCACAATGCAACAGTTACAATTCGTAGCTTGTCTTTTTTCCTCCCTGTGAGTTTAGATTTTGCAGTTATAGCCAAAGCCAGTCCGCAGGTGAGCACTTCTTGCATGTATAGTACTTCAATGGTGTAGAGCATAGAACTATAGTATAAAACACAAATCAATAAAGACACCACAGAGAAAACACAACGTAGTTTGGAACCCAGGTGTGGGTGGCAGAGGTAAAGGATTGAAATGAGGGCAGTCAGGAGATGTATCATCACTAAATACCGTCTTGAAAACATCCACAGGTTTTCGGTGTACAAACATGTGTTTCCAGGACAGGTAGCTGCAACCAGGTGACTTCCTAAGGTCATTGCTCCGATGACATTTAGAACATCGATGAAAATCAGAGCAAAAAGAGAGACATGGGTGTTCTGAACACCTTTGAGGTTCCCATGGTCACACGAGAAGGACGTGATGAAGCTTCTCTTAAAAAGACTGAGTGCACCTCTTTGGTCCCAGAAGGCACCAATATAGGTAGCCAGGCCCAGCAGAGAGGTGGACAGGAGAATTCCTCCAGCCAAGTTGGTGTTTACCACAACACCCCAGTTTTTTGTGCTGAATTCCATTTTTGGGCCATAGGGCGATTTGCTCATCACATGTGTGATGTTCTCCATGATGTGGTGGTCTTAACCAGCTTTGTGAACCTGCTGGAGGAGAGAGAAAAACAACATATTTTCAATTGAATATTTTGCTGTTCTGACCTTATTTGTTTCAAAGAAGACACTGTTTACAGTGCGATAAGTCATATATGTTTTTTTAAATCAGAACTGTGCAGTAGCTCTTTGCAAGACTTTCCTATGGCTTATTTTTGTGAAAAGGTAACCGAACGTTGAAGTATAATAAAATTGAATGAATACACAGGCAAACACAGCTTTATTTCAAGCCAAATTCAAATTTTTAATGAATTCATGTGTATTATGTAGAACACAAGCAGAAAAAAAAGAGATTTGCTTTAAAGGTTATAACCTATGTTGTAGCTGTGTGACTTTTACTCAACTGAAAAAAACTGAAAAATGTGTGGAGCATAGGGAACAGAATCACTCGGAAATAAGTTTAGACTCCAATTTCTCAAGATGTGATACTGTGAAGCATCACAGTCGTCATCATCAACTTAAAATAAAATGCTCTGCAACAGTCCAACACTTCACCACAGTATTGCAAATTAACTACTGTAGTATTTTCATGGAACATAGTCAGTAACAAGACTGTTTTGAAAATGTAAGTGATACAAAGTACAGATATTTGCCTTAAAATACAGAGAGTAAAAGTTAAAAGTTGTCAGAAAAATAAAAGTTCAACCATAACTCAAGACCAGATTTAACTATGCAATTTTTTTGGTTTCAATCTAAATGTTTAGATTTTTTGCCAGGAAATGAAGATTTAATAGAATTTCCTAGAAACCCACATTTGTTCATATTTAAAAAAAATAATCAGTTAGAGTAGAGCAGTCCTAAAGTGCTGATCACCTCAGAAACAAATATTAAATACATAGAGAACAACAAAGTTTTACACGATGGTTGTGCAGTGCAGACAGGTTTGCTTCCCTTTAAGCTTTTCTTTAAATACATCAACTTTGAACATGTTTTTAAAAAATAAACATATAAAAAAATAGACACTGAACCCCTTTTCAGAAAGAATACAATACTACAAAACTATTAGTATCAGTTAGATCATATATAACAAGACTTTGGGGGTGAAATGAAAAAATATCTAATCTTACCTGACAGACAGTCTATGCTGATGAGTTGTGCCCAGGAGAAAACTACTAAGTGCTGTGAGTTGCATATTTATAGTAGTAAAGTATGTTGTAAAACTCATTATTCAAGCCCATGTCTCGTTATCTTTACTTTTATTATCGGAAACACTCAAAACAGGATTCGTTGCCCTCATAAACTTGACACAATCATTTAGAGAGAAATGCAACTGAAGCATGAAACCAACGGTTTAGTTATTCAAATAATCAGGAACATTAAAGAAAACGTGTTTTGTATAATCTAAAAGTATACAAATCAAGTCAATTTAATGTGGTTACATTAAAAGGCAGCTTTTGGGAGCATGAATATTCTGATGAGTGCATGGCAGAGCCCACCCTGGTATTTTCTGCTATTGAGGATGAGTCGGATAAAATAGAGATTAAAATTGTGATGTGGATGATTTAAATTTATGGGGGGAAAAGGGGGAATATCTGTGAATGTTTTACCCTTTAAAACCTGAACCATGAAATAACTGCCAGAAAACTTTTTTGATTATGGAGCGTCTGTTGAACATTCAGACAAAATATATAAAAAAATATATCAAATTTTAATCTGCATCTGAGTTTTAATTTGTATCACATTTGCTACATTAGCCACATTTTTCCAATGTAGTCATTAAACATGTGCCATGCAATTTATATCATTTTTTGAGGTCACACTGATCATGTAGAAGTGTCAAAAACTCACAGAAACACACGTATCAAATATGATACGCTTGGCTTTAAAGGGTTAAGAGAAAAAAACTAGTCAGCAAAGAGGCACAGAAAAGAAGATCAGACACCAGCGAGGGAGGATAAGAAGGACAGACGCAACAACATTGTCATCCCCTATGTAGCCGGTGTATCAGAAAACTCAGGAGAGTTTTCTCCAAGCATGACATCCCGGTGTATTTCAGACCCAGCAACACGCTCAGACAGAAACTGGTTCACCCGAAAGACAAAACGCCAAAACACAAACTTAACAATGTGGTGTATGCTGTACAGTGCAGCGAGGAATGCCTCAGACCTCTACATTGGAGAGACCAAACAGCCACTTCACAAGCGCATGGCACAACACAGAAGAGCCACCTCCACAGGACAAGACTCAGCAGTCCATCTGCATCTAAGGAAAAGGTCACTCTTTCGAGGATGCCAATGTTCACATTTTGGACAGAGAGGACAGATGGTTTGAAAGAGGAGTGAAAGAAGCCATCTATGTCCACTGTGAGCGACCATCTTTGAACAGAGGCGGGGGTTTATGAGCTACAATGTAGCTTGCCATCACCAGTGTGTGAATGGGCGAATGACTGGATGTCTGAAGCACTTTTGGGGTCCATAGGGACTAGTAAAGCACTATACAAATACAGGCCATTTACCATCTTGTACAAGTGTTCTAAATCTTGCAAAGAGGTTGCACTATGCCTGCATGTATCTGTCACTTAGATGAGCATGAGATGACCTTCTTTTATGGATTTTCCCTGTTCAGCAAAAAGTGAGAAAAACAGACTATTGTGCAACTTTAGTGCACAGACTGAGGTCAAGATGGAGGGTGTGTCTCTGTGTGCGCACAAACTTGTGGTGGTGCTGAAGCCATGCACTTTACCCACTTTATATGCATGTATGTGTTGGAAATTTTAGGGTAGACGCAGGAAACCCTTCATGAAGAATTATGATTTGTTTTATCCAGATATTGTGGCTCAAATGGTGCATTCAGTCTGGCTACTCTTTGTCTTTTCTTTCCTTCCAAGGTGAAATAAAAATGAGTTACATATATAGTCCATTTTATTAGTACTGGGACAGTTACACATTTCTTGTTGTTCATGTTGGAATAGATTTTTTTTTTAAATCACAGTAAGAGTGTAATGATTGTCATGTCTTATTTTATCTGTACTCCATCCATATATATGATATATGACCATCCACTAAAAAAACTGCTAAAAAATAGCTTTTACAAAAGTCCATCTTCAATAAACAAAATCAAATCAAATGACATGAAGCTGATTTTACTGTTCACAAATATTAAAGGTAGATCAGTCCAAAATTGTGAATCAGTCACTGTGACCTTGTGATGATGAATCATAGCAAACTTAATGGTGCAGAGACTTGATTCCTGTTATGCAGTAACTGCAATTGTGTTACTTGAATAATTTAAGCCTGTTGGTGGTGGTTGCTGCTGCTCTTCTTGTTGTTATTCCCATTGCTGTGGTTCGTCTTCTACTACACCTTCTTCAGCAGACAATTTCAGAATTAAGCAGCACAGGAGTCCATCGAGACAGACTTTATAATTTATAATATTGCTCTGATGTAATATTTACAGTATAATGAGAAAAGTACAGGATTTTTAAAATATATTCAACCACCTTTACCCGTAAACAGCTGCTGGCAGTGGTTTACACAAAGCATAATAGAGTTTTCCTAAGAAGAGTACAGGTTTTCTTTGCTTGTCCACATTTAGTGTCCAGTCTCTTTGTCAATATCTGCAGCAGCAGATCATGAGGAGCAGAGGGAGAACCCAAATGCATGGAGACGGGAATTAACAGAAGGTGAGTCATTTACTAAGGCTGTTTGGTGAATAATCCAAGAAGGAGAAAACCAAACTGAAACAAGGACATAAACAGGAAACCTAAACTAGGAAACAAAACACTAGAAACCTGAAACTCTTGGACAAGATGACCTGATGTTAAACCTTACAAGTGATGAGGGGAGGGTGCACTTTCTTTTAACCACGACTGCAGAATGACTCTCTCTGACAATACAAATAATATCAATCACTGTTTAAGTCAAAGCCTGAGTCTTGTTCTGAATTATGTCAAAGAAAGTCAACATCTTGATTTCTTGCAAACCCTCTTTTTTCTGTCCATTTATTTTTACAATTTAAATTACTACTTTATATTTTTACAATTAAAATCTACTTTGTAATGGAATAAATATCAGTTACAGCCAATGCCTATCTGAAAGTTAAAGAAAATTAAGGAAGCAAATCATAGTAATTTCCCTCAGTGTTAGCTACCTAACCTAACAAAGCTTTAGTTATCGTGTTGCTTGTGCTGCATACAGTGAAAAACAAAGAAGTAACCAAAGAAAACTCCCTCACAAACTACAGGAGCTAGTTGGTTGGGGACAAGTTTGTTTCCTTTAAACTTTTCATCAGGAAAATAGACCTCAAACAGCTACATTTTTGGACTAAACCCTTTTAACAACGAATGGGAAAGATTATACAACCTCTGGTCAAACAGGAAAAAACAATAAGAGATTTAAATGTTTTCTTCTGCTGTATCCCACAATTTGAGAACACATTTATATTTTAATGTGCTTGTCACGGTCTGACTGGCAGACCGTGGGGAGATGGGGAAATAGGACCCAAACGCCGGACTTCTTCAGTGCAACAGTGTTTGTTTACAAGGTGGTGAAGTAAACAACAATAAATCCCCCGTTTCCCAGACTCCTGTGTAGTGTCTTCTTCCAAAAGTCCCCGTGTAGTGCTCTCTGCCCCAGTGTCCCTGCACTCCCCGTGCTCACTGCTCCTTCTCGTCCCACACTCTTCCTGAGGGGAAAACAATAGAGGCAGCCGTTACAACTTATCCCAGCAGGCATACACTCACACTTGACTTGCTTGAAGACTGCCGTGTAGTCAAACACAATAATCCCACGTCAGTGGAAGCTCCATTGCTCATCTAAATAGCTCCCCCGACGAGACCAGATGAGGAGCAGGTGTGCGGCAAGGACTTCGGGTGTGGCCAGCCCTCAAGTCAGGCCACGCCCCCAGGGTTGAAGGTGCCTGTAACTTGGCCACAGAAGAAAGGCAACACACACACCTGCCTAAATACAGATGTGCACAGGGGCAGTGCAGACAACACACCAAATAAGAATAACAACAATAATAACAAAAACAGTCATAGTCCCCACTGCTCACGGACCCCGAGTCCCCAGAGCCAGGTCCGTGACAGTGCTAGTCATGAAATATAGAAAATTAGGGGTGAAAACAAAAGAAAAAGATGAATATTACCTGATCTGTAGAGGGTAGCAATCACTTGTCTCTAGGAGCAAACTACTCAGTGGAAAATCCTCAGTGTTTGAATTGCATATTTAGGGTAATAAAGTACCTTGTAAACTCAAGGATTCAGCATATGACGTGTTTTTTTTTCCCCTCTTATCATAAAACCCACACAGGTGCTTGTATCTAGTGCATGAAAAGCATTCATTTCCATTATTCCCCATTAAAAGCATAAACCTTAGCTTACCACACAGTTTGTTTGTTTGTTTTTACCGTGTTAATAGCCTCTGAAAAAGCATCCATTTATAGCATGATTCATTTCCCATAAATTCATCCATTTCTCCATTTCTAAATTCATCCATATCCCATCATCAGTTTGTTACCTGTTGAAATTCAGAGCTTCAGATGGAGCCTGAGCAGTCAGGCTTTATAGCATCATGTTTTTGATGTTTTTTGATGTTTTTAAGGGCTTTGTCTTACTGAAAGCACAGATTTGCCATCATTTAACTGGATACAAACATATTTATTAATATTGTGACTTGAGTGTACTGTTTTTGCTGTATGGCATGAGGCAAAGCTGATGTTATTTTCAGAGCACCTGCATATGGATCTCTGTCAGTATGTAAGATGGACATAGATTCAAGGTCTGAAGACAGTAGACAGTAGTTCTCTACACCTGCATTCTTTCCAGTGACTACCAATCAGAAATACTTTCAGACTGTATATAATGTCATTATAATAAAGTCTTTGGGACAACAACCCTTAGTTCCCATCCTCTGATCTTAGTATGCAGTTTCCTGATGTGGATAAACAATTTTTAGGATATGCTTGTTGGTTGATATTTTGTAACACACAAGTCATTAACCAATGGACATTTCCTGTCCTCAGTTCTAGAGTCTCGTACTCCTCTCAGTCTGGTTTCAATAGAACAACTTCACTTCATTAACCAGTGGGTGGCATCATTGTGCTACAGGAATCTTTTACATAGTCTATTGTGTAGTCACTGAGGAGTACGTGCACACACATGAAACAATAGCTGG